ATTTTAGTCCTCAACAAAAAGTAGATATTGTTGTCATTCCCATTTTATGTATGTATAAACTAAGGCAAACAGTATTAAGTGATCCACGGGGCTCACGACTGAAACCCTGGAGTCTGACTGCAGAACTTCATCATTTTTGAGATTAGGCTGTGGCTTTTGTCTGGGGTGTCCACTCTCTCTCTCTTTCCTGGACCACTAGTTCTTGAGGAAGCCAGCTTACATGTCCAGCAGTCCCATGCAGAGCCCTGTATAGTGAGGAATGGGGCCTCTAGCCAACAGCCAATTAGGAACTGAGGGCTAATAACAACCACAGGAGAGAGCTTGGGAGCAGAGTCTCCATCCCTTATGGAGCTTATATTTCAGTGGGCAACATAGACAATGAACAAGTAAAGAAACAAGCAACCAAACAAATATATATATATTTTGGTAGTGATTAGGTCATATAAAGAGAAAAAAGGATAAAGGAGCAGTGTGTGATGGAGCGGGAGATACTCTTTTTGATGGAGCAATAAAATAAGGTGTGTCAGTTCTTTTGCTTTTGGTACAAATAGAAGAAAACCCAACTGAATGTGGCCTAAACAAAAAAGGAAATTTATTATATCACATAACAAGTCCAGAGGTAGGAGGGCTCACAGTAACATAAGGTTATCCTCAAGGAACCATGTTTTTTCTGCTTTGCCATCTTTGGTATATCAGTTTGATTTCCAGACAAAAGAAAAATAGAGATTCTGGGGCAGAGTAAGTTTTTAGCTGAAAAGATATAATCTGAATACAATTTTAGTGTAAAGTCTTTAATATTTACACTAAATGCTTATCAGTATATGAAAGGAAAGCACAGACTTCTGAAGCCTGTGTCTCCAACCAAAAGCAAGGATGGGACCTCTAAAGGCAGAAATCACACATTTTCACAAGGAAAAATAATGGCTTGGTTTAAACAACCCAACTTGGATTGTCAGCTCAAAGTTGGTTGGTTATAGTGGAGTTTGGCACAGTTGATCCTTATGCTCCAAGTCAGTTTGTTGAATCCAGATAGTATAGGCAGAAATTTATCATCAGGCAGCTTTCCTACTGACTCTGATGAGCTTTCTGAAAAGTGGTTACTAGGCCGGGCGCGGTGGCTCATGCCTGTAATCCCAGCACTTTGGGAGGCCGAGGCAGGTGGATCACGAGGTCAAGAGATCGAGACCATCCTGGTCAACATGGTGAAACCCCGTCTCTACTAAAAATACAAAATATTAGCTGGGTATAGTGGCGTGTGCCTGTAATCCCAGCTACTCAGGAGGCTGAGGCAGGAGAATTGCCTGAACCCAGGAGGCGGAGGTTGCGGTGAGCTGAGATCGCGCCATTGCACTCCAGCCTGGGTAACAAGAGCGAAACTCTGTCTCAAAAGAAAAAAAAAAAGTGGTTACTTTGGTTTCATCTTCTGGAGCTCTGGGTTATACAGTGTGCAAATCCGAATGCACATATTCAAAGTTCAGCAAAAATTTATTTTATCCTTCTCTTCATAGACATAGATGGCTGCAGCAGTTCCAGATGTCAGATCCAGATACACAGTATTTAAGGGCTATCTTGTATTATGCTGTAGCACAGTGATTTACTGTCTTCGGTAATCCCTTTCAGCAGTTAGGACTGAATATATACTAGATATAACGTACTGAATTAAAAATGCAACGTTGTTTTACCCTCTAGCCGTGAAGCAGTAAAATATTGGTCAGAATGGGAATCATGGGTAGGTCTAATCATGCAGGAACAGGCAATTCTAAATAAGTTGCCGAAGAAATTCATTTTGCATCATGTTGTTTAGGAACTCTTGGTTACATAGCAAATAATCCCTGAATTCAAAGGCTGCTGTGTGATTACTGAACATCTTAAAGAGCTCACTTCCCTGCACTGCCTCCTACAAGATCCATGACAATTTCTGTCTAACTACCTGTACAATAGTTGAGGGAAGTGAGCTTTCAGCAAGCACACATTTGGGATAAAAGTAGAAAATCCCCCAATCAAAAGATACAGCCAAAACCTAACGGTATATCGAAAGATACACAAAGACTCAAAACAAAGGGTTGGAGAAAAATTTACCAGCCAAATGAAGAGCAAAAATAAATAAATAAACAAAAAACAGGAGTTGCAATTCTCACATTTGATAAAATAGATTTCAAAGCAACAAAGATACAGTGGTAAAAGGATCAATGCAACAATAAGAGACCTTAATACCCAGATACATAAGACCCATAACGAGATTTAGACTCAACGAGACAGAAAATTAACAAGGATATCCAGGACTTCAACTCAGATCCGGAACAAGTAAACTCAATAAATATTTATAGAGTTCTCCACTTTAAATACACAAAATATTGATCAGCCATTATTAATACCCATTTTTAGAATGAAGCAATATTCCTGTTCTCTCTCCCTCTTTTTCTTCCTCTTTCTTCCTCTCCTTCTCTCCTTTTTTTATTTTTCAACATCCTAGTTCCTCACCTCTACTCAATACATTCCTCTGAACACCTGATTCCTTGTGATTCTCCCGTCCCACTGAAATCTCCAATCCATTGAAAAAAAAAAAAAAAAGTAGAAAATAAAGGCCAGAAGTCATGACTGTTTCTTCCAGAGAAAATATCATACCATATTCAAACTCAGGGGTTGTGTGCTGTCTCTGGGGAATTTGCCCTGAGGCCATTTTGATATATGAATTAGAGGTATCTTCTGTGATAGTTTCAGCATACGACATACGTTCTTTATAATTTGGAAACATTAGGAAGAGAGTGGAGAAAACAGGAGGGGATTGTTAGCCTACAAAAAGGTTGAAGGAGTGAGGGGGTTCTAGGGACCACGCAGATGGACTAAACCACTTTCATGAATTTACCTGGGGCCAGGTTGAAATGGTTCCTTTCAATGCTCCTGTATCTGGTTGAACCACATCTCTGCCCCAGGTTTGGTATAAATTTCATTCATTATTGCAACTGGTTTGCCATTACCTAATTCAAATCTTCTTCAATGAATCTTGCAGTGTATTTCTTAGGAACAACATGAATGATGATGGCTTAAACCAGTTTCATGTCAAATACCCCTTCCTGGTTCCGTTCATGTTGGGGGCTTTTTTTTTTGAAGTGGACTCTTGCTCTGTCACCAGGTTGGAGTGCAGTAGCACGATCTCTGCTTACTGCAACCTCCGCCTCCTGGGTCCAAGCAATTCTCCTGCTTCAGCCTCCCACATAGCTGGGACTACAGGTGTGTGCCACCACGCCTGGCTAATTTTTCTATTTTTAGTAGAGATGGGGTTTCACCATGTTGGCCAGGATGGTCTCGATCCCTTGATCTCGTGATCCACTGGCCACAGCCTCCTAAAGTGCTGGGATTATAGGCCTGAGCCACCGTGCCCAGCCTTGGGGGCTCTTTTTTTACATAAGCAGCAGTATATCCCTTTAAAGAGATTTTGAAGCTTTATAGTCCAGTTTAAATTCTGGTTAACTAGTTATACAGTTTAGATTGGCAAAGCAGATACAATGCCAGCATAACATTTATTTATTCAACAAATGTTTGCTAAGTGCCTGCTGTGTGCCATAAATAGGATAGCTGTCTCTTTAAGGTTTTCATAATACCTGTTTAGCAATTATTATTTATTGCTACTGGAGCTGATAGATGCTGTCTGACTTAGTAGAATTTATTTTAGGAATAAATACATGTTAATCATGTTTCTGACCTATAACATAATAGTTCATACTTAGCAACATTCAAATATTTTTATTCAACCAGCTTGCAACATGATGAAACCCTGTCTCTACAATAATTAGCTGGGCATGATGACATATGTCTGTAACCCAGCTACTGGGGAGCGTGAAGTGGGAGGACTGCCTGAACCTGGGGAGGTGGAGGCTGTAGTGAACTGAGATTGCACACTACACCAGCCTGGGCAACAGAGTGAGACCCTGTCTCAAAAAAAAAAAAAAGACTGTAGTGCGGTGGTACAATCTCAGCTCACAGCAGCCTCCGCCTCCTCAGTTTTAGACAATCCTCCCACCTCAGCCTCCTGAGTAGCTGGAATTATAGGCACATTCCACCACACCTGGCTGATTTTTGTATTTTTTTTGTGTGTGAAGACAAAGTCTCCCTATGTTGTCCAGGCTGGTCTCAAAGTCCTGGACTCAAGTGATCTGCCCTCCTCAGCCTCCCAAAGTGTTGGGATTACAAGTGTGAGCCACCATGCCCGACCAACATTTTTTTAAAAATTTGAACTCATACACGCAGGCTCACACTTAACATAGACAAAACCCACCAGTTCCCATTCTCCTTTCCTTACCACAGAGTTGCTTTTCCTGCCATCTTTACTTTCCACCCTCATACTCTTGAGCCCACTTAGATCAGGCTTCATGCCACCAAAATTGCTCTTGGAGGTTACCCTTAATGATACCAAATTTAATGATCAAATTTCAATCTTCCTAACAGGACTTTGCGTGATTGCTCATTCTCTCCTTTTTGAAATATTTTCTCCACTTGGCCTCCAGGACACCATTCTCTTACCGTTCTCCTCCTACGGTTTCAGCTGCTGTCACCTTTGCTGGTTCCTCTTTGTTTACCTGACCTCTAAACCTTGGAGGGACCTGGGCTTATATATGGTGTGTGTGTGTGTTTATTAATCTGGCTACTTCATGATCTCATCCAGTCCTATGGCTTTTTTTTTTTTTTTTTAATTCGGTCTCCATAGAGACTGTTAAAAATCGGCCAGGCGTGGTGGCTCATGCCTATAATCCCAGCACTTTGGGAGGCCGAGGTGGGTGGATCATGAGGTCAAGAGATCGAAACCATCCTGGTCAACACGGTGAAACCCCATCTCTACTAAAAGTACATAAAAAATTAGCTGGGCATGGTGGCACACGCCTGTAGTCCCAGCTACTTGAGAGGCTGAGGCAGGAGAATTGCCTGAATCCAGGAGGCGGAGGTTGCGGTGAGCTGAGATCGCGCCATAGCACTCCAGCCTGGGTAGCAAGAGTGAAACTCCGTCTCAAAAAAGAAGAAAAAAAAATGCCAGTGCCGACCATATTTTAAGTTGTCATGGTGGGGTATTGGGAAAAGTTTTCAATTAGAAATAATTATGCCTTGGATAAACCTCATTGGCTATAATACTGTCACTGTGCAAAGCTGTACTATGGCTTTTTTATCTTTATTTTTTAATTTTAATTTTATTTAATTAAAATAATACATACAGATTTTTAAAAGTCAAGTAGTACCAAAAAGGTCATGATAAAATACAGTGTTTCCCTTCCCCATCCCTCTCTACTTTCCTCCCTCCTTCCTAAATTTTTTTTATGCTTTTAGCTCTCTCTTCTGCCATTTACACCTCTACCTAATTTGTAAACAATGGGCATATACCACCTTTAGCCATTATGTATCAGCTTCATACTGTAATAGATAATTTATGTCTTACAATGCCATTCTGTCTTCTACTATCCTTAATCTTCTTAACATAGTTATACTACAGTAGTTGGTGAAATCAATATTCAGTGTTTACATAATTACGTATATGTGAATATAATTCCCAGCAGTGGTGCAGTGTTTTATGATTGTGTTTTCAATATGTCTTCCAGTTTGCTATCCGCTAGAAACCGATTCATGATCTTAAACTTGGTTTATGGTTTCTTTCCATTGTCACATCCAATCTGATTCTTTTTAAAATATGCTATGTTGCTTGCTATAGTTTCCAGTTCCCTGTTGAAATTTTCAAGCATAATTTTTGTGTCTTTTAAAATAGTAAATATAGTTGTCTTATTATTGGCGTTTAATAATTCCAGTATCTGGAGTCCTTCAGGGCTGTGTTTGATATCACTTATTTCTGTTGGTTCTTGTTTTCGTTATCTAGCCATATGGGTTCTAGTTAGATTCTCTGGGCCCTTGATCTGTCTTTCTATATTTAGATTTATTCCCTATTTGATGAAGCACATCCATCAAGTTAAAGGTATGTTACAACGGCAGAAACATGGGAAGGACAGCAGTTGGCATGGCTCTCTCTCATATCACACTGCCCGATCAGGACTGCTGTGCAGTTGTCATTTGAACATCATGACTTTGCCACCAGCATGGAGAGTCTTTTCCTTTTCTCTGTGTTGAATCTCTTATTTTCTGTATTCTGTATTTTCTTCTTTCTCAGATTACTCTCTTATCTTAGTACAGGCAATGTGATTGTGTGATGTAGTAGACAGAATATTGGTTCTGTACAATGTCCACATTCTGATCTGTAAAACTTGTGAATATGTTTCCTTAAATGGCAAAAGAGACTTTGAAGATGTGATCACATTAAGAATGTTTAAATTGGGAGATTATCCTGGATTATTTGGGTGGCCCCATGTAGTAATGAAGGTCCATATAATTGGACAGTAGGAGGTATATGTGTGCATGTGCATGTACTTATGAGAGAAAGAGACAGACAGACAGACAGACAGAGACAGAGAGAGACAGAGAGAAGAGAGAGGTCCTGGTTTTAAATACGGATGTATGAAGGAAGGGGCCACAAGACAAGGAATGCAGGCAGCCTCTGGCAGGAAGGAAGATAAGGAAATGGATTCTCCTCTAGAGCCTCTGGAAGGGAAAACAGTCCTGCTAACATCTTGATTTAGAAATTCTGATCTCCAGAACTGTAAGAGAATAAATTTATGTTCTTTTAAGCTACTAAGTTTGTAGCAATTTGTTATAGCAGCAAAGAAAATCAATACAAATAATAATTATTTTTCAGATTTTTTTTTTTGAGATGGAGTCTCACTCTGTGCAGAGGTGTAATCTTGGCTCACTGCAACCTCTGCCTCCTGGGTTCAAGCAATTCTCCTGCCTCAGTCTCCCAAGTAGCTGGGACTACAGGCGCCCACCACCATACCCAGCTAATTTCTGTCTTTTTATTAGAGACGGGTTTTCACCATGTTGGCAAAGCTGGTCTTGACTCCTGGCCTTAAGTGATCTGCCCGCCTTGGCCTTCCAAAGTGCTGGGATTACAGGCATGAGACACCATGACGATGTGTGTCTACCGTGCCTAGTTTTGAAAAACACATGCCGGCCTAGTTTTTTCAGATGTTGCAAGTGTCTACAGTCAATCTTCACATTGCCAGTTTGGTTGGTTATAGGATTCTAGGTTGGAAGGCATTTTCCTTTACACTGAAGACACTCTTCCATTGTCTTCTTCCTTCAAATGTTGCTGAGAAGCCCAGAGTCATTTTTATTATCATTCCTTATACATGGCCTGTTTTCTACCCCTCTTCAGACACTTAGAGCATTATCTGTTTGTCTCTAATGTTCTGATATTTCACAACGTATGAGTCTATAAGAGTAGAAAATTCCACATGTCAGAAACCTGGTGCTTTAAAATTCCATAAATATAATGAAAATACAAGCACAAATTGGGGAAAATATTTGCAACATGAAAAATAAAGGGCTATTAGTCTTATAATAGAAAGCACTCTTACAAGAAAAAATAAATTCGCCAAAAGAAACATTCACAATAGTAATTCAAGAGAGTAGATCTGCAGGTCTAGAATGGAAAAGAAAGACAAAAGAAAAAAGTATAAAAGAGTATAAATGATTGGCTAAGAAACATTTAAAAATCCATAGCCTTACTAGAAATAAAATAAATGCAAATTAAAACTGTGAGAAAAAAATTTTCACCTTTTTAATTGATGAAGATTAAAGAAAACCCTCAAAATAGCTAATGTTGGTTAAGATTTCAGCACTTACATACACTGCTGTTAGAAATGCAGTCAACCATCTCTTTAAGATGAGGCAAAATTTTGTAAACCAGATCAAAAGCTTTTAAAAATGTCCACGTTAGGTTGGGCACAGTGGCTCATGCTTATAATCACAGCACTTTGAGGCTGAGGTGGGAGAATCACTTGAGCCCAGGAGTTGGAGACCAGCCTGGGCAACATAGTGAGACCTCATTGCTACAAAAAATAAAACAACGAGCTAGGCATGGTGGCATATGCCTGTAAGTCCTAGCTGCTTGGGAAGCTGAAGCAGGAGGATCATTTGAGCTCAAAAGTTTGAGGTTACAGTGAGCTATGATTACACCATTGCACCTGGGTGACAGAGTGAGACTCTTTCTCAAAAAAAAAAAAAAATCAGTACTTAGAATTTATTCCACCAAGATAATAATGAATGATGAATGTGCATAAAGAGTTAACTACCGTTTTGGCCATGTCGTTTACAACATTAAGAAAGTGGAAATAGGTCCGGTGGGGTGACACATCCGTAACTCCAGTGCTTTAGAAGACTGAGGCAGAAGGATTGTTTGAGGCCAGGAGTTCGAGACCAGCCTGGGCAACATAGTGAGACTCCATCTCTAAAAAGAATTTAAAAATTAGCTGGGCATGGTGGTATGTGCCTGTAGTACTAGCTACTTGGGAGGCTGAAGCAGGGGGATCATCTGAGCTCAGGAGTTTGAGGATACAGTGAGCTATGATTGCACCACTGCATTCTACCTTGGGTGACAGAGTAAGACCCTGTTTCTCTCAAAAAAAAAAAAAAAAAAAAAAAAAAAAGAGTAGAAACAACCTAAGTACTCAACAACAGAAAACTGGCTTAAATTTTCTATGGCAGTGGGATGTTTCAGCAGTTTTTTTTTTTTTTTTGAGATGGAGTTTAGCTCTTGCTACCCATGCTGGAGTGCAATGGCGCGATCTGGGCTCACCACAACCTCTGCCTCCTGGGTTCAGGCAATTCTCCTGCCTCAGCCTCCTGAGTAGCTGGGATTACAGGCACGTACCACCATGCCCAGCTAATTTTTGATTTTATTTTATGTTTAGTAGAGATGGAGTTTCACCATGTTGACCAGGATGGTCTCGATCTCTTGACCTTGTGATCCACCCGCCTCGGTCTCCCAGAGTGCTGGGATTACAGGCGTGAGCCACCGTGCAAGGCTGTTTCAGCAGTTTTAAAGTAAATAAGGCCACTAGCCTGAGGTTGTCTCTGCACCCTTAGCCCTTACATAAGCAAGCTGAAGCCTTATTTTTTAAATTTAATTATGTATTTTTTTGAGATGGAGTCTTGCTTTGTCACCCAGGCTGGAGTGCAGCGGCATGATCTCAGCTCACTGCAACCTCTGCCTCCCTAGTTCAAGTGATTCTCCTGCCTCAGACTCTCGAGTAGCTGGGATTACAAGTGCGCACTATCACACCCAGTTAATTTTTTATATTTTTGGTAGCGACGGGGTTTTACCATGTTGGCCTGGCTGGTCTCAAACTCCTGACCTCAAGTGATCTGTCTACTTTGGCCTCCCAAAGTGCTGGAATTACAAGCATGAGCCACCACGCCCAGCCCAAAGCCCAGTTTAGAGGTATTTCTTGTAACCGACTTAAATAGACAAACAAAGAAAAGCCCTAACCAAACACAAACAGCCATTGAGTGGACTGGCTATATAAGTAGGGGTCTCCCATCAGACTATACCAAATAGGGCAAACACTTAACTGTAGCAATTCAGGTAACTTCTTTACTTTGCTTCTGTGTTCAGCCTATAAAAGGTAGCTGCTTTCAGAGCAGAGCCCATAACCTCTTTTGATCTTGGTGCTTCCAATTCATGACTCATTCTTTTACTCAAATAAATGTGTTAATTTCATTTAAAGTTTTTTAAACCGCCAGACATAGTATTAAATTTATCATATAAAAAGTGGTCATTATTGGTAAGAAGTTGACTCATGGGGAACTGAAATGAGAATTGGTGAGAATCAGAATTCTCTGAACTCTGTCCATCATTTATTAATAGAATGTTTTCTTTCTAGAGATAAATTATTTCTACTTCTAAACATTGAGGAGGTAAAAAGAGGGGCTTTTGGCTAGACATGGTGGCTCATACCTGTAATTCCAGGACTTTGGCAGGTTGAGGCAGGAGGACCACTTGAGTCCAGGAGCTCAAGACCAGCCTGGCCAAAAAGCAAGACTCCATTTCTATTAAGAAGAAAAAAGAAAGAGGGGCTTTCAGCAATGATAGTGATAAAATTTAAAAGAAAAAAAGCAACAGTAGCTAACACTGAGTACTTACTGTGTTCCAGGTAACCTGTCATGTAGTTAATGTATTTTATTTAATTCCTACAATAGCCCTTTGGGGTAGGTAGTATTCTTTATCATCTTTAGATGTGAAGACTGAGGCTTGGAGATGTTGAGTGAATGGCTTAGAGTGACACAGCTGATAAATATTATAGTTTCAATTTAAACTCTGGAAGTCAGGATTCCAGACATTCTTATTCACTGGACTGCCTCAAATAAGTAAAGCAACTCCATTAGTGGAGATCCCCCAATAGCCCTTTGTTCTGGGAGACACAGCGAGGGATCATTTTAATTAGGTAGATGTAAGGAAACATGGTAAGGTTGCAGCTGAACATTTGAGAATTGACAATGAAGCTCTTTTCATCATTTCCTTTGGTACAAAAAGTTTGAAGACTGCTGGGAGAAAATCAGCAAATTTTCCCGAAGACTAAGCTTCTGGGAAGGCAGTTATGGAGACCGTGACCACTTCCTTTAGGAATGTTAATGATACTATATCATCTCTCGACTGAAGTGGCCTGGACTTGACATGGCAGCAAAAGACAGGAGAAATTCACCATGGAGAGGGGAGCCTGGACTGCTTACCTGGGCTTAACATTACTGGCTGCCAACGACAAGTTTCTAGGTCGGTTCCTACAAATTTTACTCAAGCATCACAGGTGTGTCCTAGGAAAAAAAGCAACAAAGGTTTTTAACTTTGGAACCACAAATTGTCAGAGCATTTAAATTTTAATAGCTCCATCTTGTGAAAGGTCTTGATATAGCAGGTATTCTGTGTCTCAACAGTGACACCTTGTGGGGCAGAGGTAGCAGAAGCTGGTGCCTGCGTGGACTGGAGGAGTTTTCAATCTTTCTTAAAGTCAGTTATAAGCAGGATTGAGCCTTTGAACTCTGTTCCTGAACTAACATGGAAGAACAAAAACACAGAGAAAACATCATGTACTGTGTACATCTAGTCAGTTTGACTGTTAAACACACACACACACACACACACACACACACACCCCAAAAGGCACATTACAAAATGGCAATGCAAGACATATGACAAAAGGATGATTTTCTTAAAGAGTATTTATTAGTCAATAAAGATAATGATGAGTAATCCAATAGAAAAAGGTCTCAAATAAGCAGCTAACAGAGATACTGATAACACTTAAAAAAGAGTTTTGATTTCACTCATAATCCATTCATTAAACATAAAGATTAAAAGTACAATGATATACTTTTCATCTAACAGGTTAATAAATATTAAAAAGTAGGATAGAATTTAGTGTTAGCGAGGGTATGAGAAAACTATCAAAAATTGTTAGTAGAAATAAAAAATTGTGCAAAAATTTGGAAGATAATCTAGTATAATATATATCCAAATTTAAAATGCACACACTTTATAATCCAGTAATGCCATCATTCAGAATTTAGGAGTGTTTTCTAATGATTTTTTGTTTGTGCACTGTATCAATTAGGATGCAGTCATTTGTAAAGAACAAAACAAAAAACCCCAATTCAAACATGTTTAAACAATGGAGGGGATTTATTAGGTAATGGACTGAGATCCCAGAAATAAACTGGATTTCACCTGAGGTTTGATTCAGCATCCCAGAGATATTATCATCCACCCAGTTTCTTGCTAACTGTTTTCTGACTTCTGGCACATCAGGCCAATTCTCTATCAAGGTTACAAGATGGCTGACAACAACTCCTAAGGTATAGTGGACAAATGCTTTCTTTATGGCTGCAACGCGCCTTTGAAAACCTTTCCTATGGAGAGTTCTCCATCTTATAAGTCCTTATTTCCTCGATGTGAAATTCAGAAATTCTGTTTCCCAGTCTCCCCTGCAGCTCTGTGAAATCTGGTGACATGAAGACATAAGCACCATGCAGAAACCCTCCTGGCAAGAGTGGCAGTATTATCACCAGAAGCAGCAGTTGCAGAGGTTCAGGTGAAAGTCCCTAGGGCCCAGCACCCTTTGCCAGTGGGGTATTTGTGCTCAGTGAGGGCAATGGTGGTGTTTTCTCTGGAGCAGTTCCACAATAGGACATATTGTTGCATGGCTCTCTCTGGGACAGCTGGATTCTTTGGCATTCCCATAGAGTCTGTGAACTCCCTGATATCCTCCAATCAATTTGCTTTCTGCTTAAACTATCTACAGTTCATTCCTATTGTGTGCAAGAACCCTAATACACAAAGATACGTTTTTTTTTTTCAGCCACATCTAGGGAGAGAGGTCACTTTCAGAAATTCTCTCAAAAGAGCAAAGAAGCTTCCTTCTCTGTTATCTCTGGAAAACCTCTTTTTATATCTCTATAGTCAAAATTGGGTCATTTTTTTTTTCTGTACTACTGGGGCTTGAGGACAGGATTACGATAATGATCTAAGGCCTGAGCCACATCCTTATCCCTTAAGGCTTAAGACAAAGAACAAAGAGAGAGAGGCGAGGACACCCAGGTGAGATCAGGATACTAACTCAGAGAGGGGTGAATGGGTGAAAGTATATGGGAGGTAGAAGAACCACAACACCTACTAGACAGAACAGCTTACATCGAACCCCTTGAACTTCCAAGCTTGCTCCTCACATGTGTGGAGAAGTCTGCATAAACCGCTATATCATGTTGCTGTTGGTTCCCACCTGGAACATCTAGACAGAGTCCCCAGGATAGGATTCAGCTTCCTTTCCATGGGGCCAGTCACATTCTTTGCTGTCTTGTTCCTTCATTCTGCCTTTAATGAGGGATGGGTCAACAACTAAAATGGCAATGACGTTCCTCTTTAGTTTAATGGAAAATTCCTCCAGAAGTTCCACCCTCATTGGTGTAGTCCACTTCCTTATTTTTCTCCCCTATTCTTAGGCACCAACATCTCTGCAACAATGCTTCCTTCTTCTCACCTCTCAAAGCAAGACTTCGTTCATTCTTTGGAACTCATCCCTTGCAAATAGATCAGACTATACCCTAGCAGTATATTTCTCAAAATTTGAAGCCTGTTCTGAGCAATATGCTTTTCAAGTGAATTTTACCCTTGTACTAGTGACGTTTGGGGCTGGATAAAATTTTTGTTATGAGAGACTGTCCTGTACATTGTAGAGTGTTTAGAAGCATCCCTAGCCTCTATCCACTACAGGCTAGTAGCATCCTCTCCTGCCAAGTTGTGACAACCAAAAATGTCCACTGGAGAGCAGAATTACCCATTTGATAACAACTAAGCTAGACTAATACTCTGGGGTAGAGTGTGCTCAGTAAGGACAGAGGAATTCACTCATATTCCAAGTTAGGATGGGGAACCTGGGGAACTTTGACTATCCAGGTTTCACCAAAAAGTACAGGACAGATAACTCCTCTTGTGAGTTATCAATGAACTTCTTTGTTCTCCTGACTGTGCTGCAGGGGACTGTTGAATCACATCTCCCAAGGGCAAATACTAATTTTCATAGAGAGTACAGCCTAACCACAAGGTAGATGATGTATACTTTCCTATCTGTCCTATAATTTTACAAGGCCATATCTCTTTTGTTTTTTTCTGAGACCCAGTCTCACCCAGGCAGTAGTGCGGTGGCATTATCTCGGCTCACTGCAGCCTCCACCTCCTGGGTTCAAGCAATTCTCCCGCCCCAGCCACCTGAGTAGCTGGTATTACAGGCACCCGCCACCAAGCTCGGCTAATTTTTTGTATTTTTAGTAGAGATGGGGTTTCACCATGTTGGCCAGGCTGGTTACAAACTCCTGACCTCAAGTGATCCACCTGCCTCGGCCTCCCAAAGTGCTGGATTATAGGCATGTGTCACTGTGCCTGGCCATGGCTATGTCTCTTATAAGGAGGTATGACAAATTATTGTTCAACTCGGCTTAATCCACCTATCTTGCTTCCAAATGTATCTTCTTTGGATCATCCCTGAGTAATATTTTTTTAAATTCCCTTAGCTAGTCATAGAGTTGGCCAAATACGAGAAATTATTACTTGGAAATGTAATCCTGTAGTTTCTTTTTTATGGTGGTGGTTGCTGTGTTATTTGGCACATAGGTATTTTGGGTTATCTGACACAAAAGTTTCATATTTCAAACTTTTATCTTTACTGTGGCCTTTAGCTACATTTTTTTTTTTCTGGATAATTTTGGCATTTAGCATGATGTTCTTAATTACCTTAAGCCATTTTGGTCCAAATTGTCAGATATCAAAGAACGAGCCTGCATTCTTACTATGTCCATTTGTTTGGTGTTTTAGTGAGTCCAGGCTATTAGAGACTGGGTGGCTTCAACAACATCTATTTCTTTTCTTTTTTTTTTTTTTTTGTTTTTTGAGACTGAGTTCCGCTCTTGTTACCCAGGCTGGAGTGCAATGGTGTGATCTCGGCTCACCGCAACCTCCGCCTCCTGGGTTCAGGCAATTCTCCTGCCTCAGCCTCCTGAGTAGCTGGGATTACAGGCACGCGCCACCATGCCCAGCTAATTTTTTGTATTTTAGTAGAGACTGGGTTTCACCATGTTGACCAGGATGGTCTCGACTCTTGACCTCGTGATCCACCCGCCTCGGCCTCCCAAAGTGCAACATTTATTTCTTACAGTTACAGAGGATGTGAAGTCTAAGAGCAGGGTGCCAACATGACTGGGTTTTAGTGAGGGCCCTCTTATTGCTTTGCAGACAGACACCTTTTTACTTTATCTTCATGCGGCAGAGTGACACAGAAAGTAGGCTTTGTTGTATCTCTTCTTATAAGGGCACTGATCCTATTCATGAGGGCTCTGCGCTCACGACCTAATTACCTTCCAAAGGTCCCACCTCCAAATACCATCACATTTGGAACTGAGCTTCAAGAAATGAATGAGGGTACACATTCAGTCCACAGCACTTGGTATGTCTGTCTGTTCCTTTCTATTTAGCCTTTCTGAATCATTTTGTTTTAGGCGTATTGCTTGTATCTACCATAATGACAGTTTACTTCTGTTGCATAACAAACCATACCAAAAATTAGTGGCTTAAAAACCAGCCATTTATTTAGCTCATAATTCTGTACATTGGCTTAACATTTCTGGTCTAGGTTGGCTCAGCTGATCTCTGAGGTGCCTGCTTACGTGTCTGAGGTCACCTAGGGTGTTGCCTGGTGGTTGGATGATCTAAGATAGACTTGTTCCTATGTCTGACAACTGTTGGCTAGGGCTAGGAGAGTGACTCTACCACATCTCTCATAATCCAGCAGGCAAGAGGGCACACATGGAGGTCACAGGGCTGTAAGTGCAGTAAGAGAGGACAAACCCTGATGACTGAAGTGTCTGCTTCCATCACAACTGCTAATGCCCCATTGGCCAAAGCAGCTTACAAGAACCACCCAGACTTAAAGGTGAGAAAAGGAGTCCCCCTCCTGATAGGAAGATCTGCAATGTCACATTGCAAATCATGATAAAGGGAGAGGAAAAATTCATGGCCAATTTTATAATCTATCACACTGGGTTTTCTTTTGTGAGTCATTTTAAGTCTTTTTCTTTCAATGGTTGATTTAAACCCAAATACATGTATTATATGATGTTATATTTGATTTCAATTTTCTCACATCATTATATACTCTTTATTAAATGTATTCTTATTTTTCCTGTATGTCCATGTGCTTACTTTCAGGCTATCTTCTCAATGTGGACTTGAAACACACTATTTTGCAACTCAAAGCTGCCTTCAGCAGGGTTCTGTCTATCTGAAGAGGCAACTATTTCCATTGGTTCAGTCAGTGGGATTAATGATGGGCCCAGAACTAGGAATTTTCAAGAAGGAAAATCCATTGACTTAATATTCCCAGAATATACTTGTTATGCTGAGAATACACAATAAGAACTTCATTACATAGATGAAAAACTAACATCATCATAAGCAAGTTTAGAAGCAGTGAAACATACTCTTGGAAGGCATTATTAATGCTCCCTAATACCTGATTCTTCCTTTTCAGTCCCATTGCAGTTTGGTGGAGCCATGTGAAAGGTTCTAGCGAGTGAAATGCAAGTGGAAGTGGGAGGGCTGAGGTAGTGATCCCCTCTTTCCCTCTGAGGTAGTGAAAGTGCAATCTCGTGTTGGGATGGCAGAGCTATAAGATCAAAGTAGTCTGGATTGCTCAGACACTGTTTGGAGGACAACTCTCAGCCTGTTACATATTAGACTTCATGTGAGCAAATAACACGTTTATTAAGGCACTGAGATTCTGAAATTGTTTATTGTCAGAGCATGAGCTGGCTGATCTTGACTAACATACCATCATTCTTTGGTCACTGGCCTATTGCCTAATTAGTTGGGGAGCTTGTTGTTAGGAAAAGTATGTTATTTTGAAAGTAGAGTATATAAATATTATACATATATATGCACATATATATTTAACAAGAGGTGAAACTTATTATTATTATTATTTTTTGAGACGGAGTTTCGCTCTTGTTACCCAGGCTGGAGTGCAATGGCACGATCTCGGCTCACCGCAACCTCCGCCTCCTGGGTTCAGGCAATTCTCTTCCCTCAGCCTCCTGAGTAGCTGGGATTACAGGCACGCGCCACCATGCCCAGCTTTTTTTTTTTTTTTTTTTTGTATTTTTATTAGAGACGGGGTTTCACCATGTTGACCAGGATGGTCTCGATCTCTTGACCTCGTGATCCTCCTGCCTCGGCCTCCCAAAGTGCTGGGATTACAGGCGTGAGCCACCACGCCCGGCCGAGGTGAAACTTTTTTAACAATATTTATTGAGTGCCCGCTTGACCAAGTGCTAGGCATAGTATAAAAAACACACATTTTTGCCTTCATGGAGCTTACATTCTACTGAGGAAGTCAGATAAAAATTAAATCAACAAACAAAATACTTCTAAGTTAGGATAAGTGATATGAAGGAAATAATGGCTGAGCTAGAGGTTAATAAGGGAGGGAATCTACTTTACATAGTATGATGATGAGGAGAGGAGACCTTTCAACTGAGGTATAGAGAGAGGGAGAAAACATTCTAGACCAAATGAGGCAAGAAAGATCTTGGTGAGTTTGAGAAACTATAAAGACCAACGTGACTCAGCAGTAACAAATGAGAAACCAAGAGGCAAAATATGAAGTTGCAGAGAAAGATCATCACGTTGTAGTAGGGAGATTGGTTTTCATTCTAAGCCATCAGATAGTATCACCTTAATCTTCCTTGGATCAATGCCACGAAATTAACCACATCTTTGTTAAGTTCCTTCCCCCCTCCACCTGCCATCTGCCTCAACAAATGTCATGCACTTTACAAAAGAAGACATACATGAGGCCAACAAACATGAAAAAATGCTCATCTTCACTGGTCATTAGAGAAATGCAAATCAAAACCACATTGAGATACCATCTCACGCCAGTTAGAATGGCGATCATTAAAAAATCTGGAGACAACAGATGCTGGAGAGGATGTGGAGAAATAGGAACACTTTTACACTGCTGGTGGGAGTGTAAAGTAGTTCAACCATTGTGGAAGACAGTGTGGCAATTCCTCAAGGACCTAGAAATAGAAATTCTATTTGATCCAGCAATCCCATTACTGGGTATATATCCAAAGGACTATAAATCGTTCTACTATAAGGACACATGCACACGAATGTTCATTGCAGCACTGTTTACAATAGCAAAGACCTGGAATCAACACAAATGCCCACTGATGACAGACTGGACAGGGAAAATGTGGCACACATACACCATGGAATATTATGCAGCAATCAAAAACGATGAGTTTGTGTCCTTTGTAGGGACATGGATGAACCTGGAGAACATCATTCTCAGCAAACTGACACAAGAACAGAAAATGAAATATCACATGTTCTTACTCATAGGCGGGTGTTGAACAATGAGAACACATGGACACAGGGAGGGGAGCACTACACACTGGGGTCTGTTGGGGGGAATAGGGGAGGGACAGCAGGGGGTGGGGAGTTGGGGAGAGATAGCATGGGTGCCAGATATAGGTGAAGGGGAGGAAGGCAGCAAATCATACTGCCATGTGTGTACCTATGCAACTACCTTGCATGTTCTTCACATGTACCCCAAAACCTAAAACGCAATAAAAACAAACAAAAAAACCAATGTCATGTCCCTCATCTTTCTGATGGTTAATCACTGTTTGTATCTTCCTTCCTCTAGTTACCCTTTCTCTTCCTCTTTTCATATATTTTGCTTCTTCATTATCTTCCCAATGGGTCAGTCCTGTCAACCAAGCTGCAAGACACCACCCATCCCCGACCATCTTCCATGGGTTATCGATTGGCAATGATTCTACCAATCACACAGATATTCAGTCCCCAAAACCAGGATCTATCCTTGACGACTCCCTTTACTTTTCTATGCAGTTCATTGGTAAATTCTTGAATTTTAAACTCCAATATATTAACAGTTTGGTTCACTCTTGCTAATGTTAGCTTTCATGATCTTTTGCATTGATTTCTGAAATGGTCTTACAATTTGCCTCCTTGCTTCCATTCTTTCCTTTCTTTAAGGCTTTCTTTATGCATCAGCCAAGGGTGGCTACTTATTTTAATCTAGAATAGCTTAATTAAAATAAACAAAAAAATTTTTTAAATAAATTGTGGTAAAATAGGCTGGTGCAGTAGCTCACGCCTGTAATTCCAGCACTTTGGGAGGCCGAAGTGGGTGGATCACTTGAGGCCAGGAGTTCGAGACCAGCCTGGCCAACATTGCGAAAGCCTGTCACTATTAAAGATACAAAAATTAGGCCGGCATGGTGGCTCTTGTCTGTAGTCCCAGCTACTCAGGAGACTGAAGCAGGAGAATCCCTTGAACCTGGTATGCAGAGGTTGCGGTGAGCCAAGATTGTGCCACTGCACTCCAGCTTAAGTGACAGATTGAGACTCTGTCTCAAAAAAAAAAACTGTGATAAAATAAACTTTTACTATAATGAAAGTAGTCTATGTACTGCAAAAGTTACAATAAAAAATATAGGCATACCTAAAGAAAAAATACACATTTCCACTTCCAAAGATGACCACTCCTAACACCTTAGGTATAAGCCTACTAAATCTTTTTTTGTTGTACATAAATATATGTGCATTTTTAAACCAAAATGAGATGTTGTAACATACCATTTTGTGACTTGCTCTTTTCAGTTAATGATCTTTTCCATGACAATACAGTCCTATTTTATCCAATACTCAGTCCATCTACATTCATATTTCTTTAATGGTCCTGAAAATGCATTTTATAGTCTGTTCAAACCGGGATCCAATTCAAACTGTTAGGTCCCTTAAATTTCTTTTCATAAAGCAGTTGCTTTTTCATGACAAATTGTTGAAGAGATGGGCCAGTTACCCTGCAGAAAGTTTCACCTTCTGGATCTGTCTAGTTACTTCCTCTGGCATCACTAAATTTGTTCATCTATCAGTCGGAGTTGCACTCTTTTGCCCAGGCTGGAGTGCAATGGTGCAATCTCAGCTCACTGCAACCTCCGCCTCCCGGGTTCAAGGGATTCTTCTGCCTCAGCCTCCCAAGCAGCTGGAATTACAGGTGTGCACCACCACGCCAGGCTAAGTTTTGTATTTTTAGTAGAGATGGGGTTTCACCATATTGGCCAGACTGGTTTTGAACTCCTGACCTCGTGATCCACCGGCCTCGGACTCCAAAAGTGCTGGGATTTCAGGCGTGAGCCACCGCGCCCGACCTATCAGTTGTTTTCATAAACTGTGTTATATGCAAAAGCTTGATAGATTCAAGTTAAACACTTTTGCCTAAATATACCATGATGATACTGTATACTACATACTACATCCCATCGAAAGACAAACTATCCAATTGAACTACAAGGTGGCCTTTAAAAAATGTAAAATTTAAATATATATTGCTTAAGTTTCATACTTCTTCCGCATTTATTATACAATACTAAACAAATTCTTCAATTTGGACTACAAGGTTCTGAACGATTTGATGCCTGCTTATCCCTCCCACTTTATTTCATCACATTCTGCTTTTAAAGGTCATGTCACATGTTTCCTTTCCACTCCTTGCCTCCCAGGGCCTCTGCAGGCTTCTGGTTTGGAGGCTCTCCTTTGCCATTCCACCCCCTCCACTCTTCTCCTCTTCTGATATCAAGCATCTTCTCAAATTACAGGTGTTGTTTTAAATGTATTTAAAATTTTGTTCTTTCTACAAAACAGCAACAACAGATACAGGCTCGTTTTCAGTTCACCTAGTCGAAGAAAACCTACTTTATCTTATTTGAATTAGGGTCCTTCAAGCGATCTTAACATCCTAAATCCCAAGCACCCTGTTTTTTTCCCTGGTACTTTTTCAGTTTACCTTAAGGTCTGTGTCAACCTGACAGTAAGATGCACGATGGCAGGGATCTTGCCTACTAGGTTCCCTGTGCACTCCGTACCCGTGCACAGCAGCCCATCAACAGTAGTTGAAGAAACTTCATTGGTCACAATAACCCTGGGGACGCGTCTCGGGGAGGCAGCTGCAAACTCTCGCAGGTGGCAGCGACAGAAGTACTTCTCCAGGAAGTCGTCCGAGTGGAGGAATACTCTTACGTCAAAGTGCTCAGTACACTACAGCGGCAGGAAGGGGGAAGGGAAGAATTCCAGATGCGGAGAAAGTCAGTATTTTACAGCACAGTACAGGTTAAACTGGATCCTGGAAGGCGTCGCCGCCGCGACACCTTCACGTGACCACGGACGGCCGAAGGACCCCCCGCGCCCAGTGCGCCTGCGCTGGCGCTCCCGGAAGTGGCCGGACCAGGAACGCAGCGGAGCTCACGTCCGTCAGCCCGTCAGTCCGCCAGTCCGCCAGTCCGCCAGTCCGCCAACTCGGTACCTCTCTCTTTGCCTTCGTAGCTGTCCGTGGTCTGTTTGGCCCGAACGGCGGCGGAGGCGCTGATCATGGCGACATTCATCCCGGTGCAGCTGAAAAAGACCTCAGAGGTGGACCTGGCCAAGCCGCTGGTGAAGTTCATCCAGCAGACTTACCCGAGCGGCGGGGAGGAGCAGGCCCAGTACTGTCGCGCGGCGGAGGAGCTCAGCAAGCTGCGCCGCGCCGCAGTCGGTCGCCCGCTGGACAAGCACGAAGGCTCGCTTGAGACGCTCCTGAGGTGGGCGCGGGGCCAGGGGTGGGTAGGTTGTCTGCCAGCCGTCCCTCGCCGCCCCTCTTCCTGTCTCCCCCCTTCCCTCAATCCTGTAACCTGGGCCGCCCCGCCCCGGCCTGACCGGGCGCGTAGGTGTGGTCTGCATTCTTTGCTGGTCAGCAGGACCCGCCCTTCAGGCCCGCTGTGACTGCCGGCTGGTCCTGCCTGCCAGCCTGCCCGCCTGCCCCAGCTCAGTGGATCGGATGCCGGGGTGCACCAGTCTGCCATGTACGGATCTCTCTCCACATTTACTTACAACTAGTTTTTACTTTTTTGAGTCTCTAACTGAAGCTTCCCCCTTTTCCCTCATTTTTCCATTACTGTCTTTCTTGTACCAAATTTGGGTTTCATAATATTAGTGGCTTGAAGGAAGTGGGGGAATTGGGACACTGGACCAAATGTCTGATCAACTCATTACATTGTCCACATAAAATGGACCATCTTCCTCAGTTCAAAATTATCCAAATGACAGAAAGTTAGGAGCTACAACTATTTGAAATAAAACTCTACTTACATAACAGAACCGTTCAAGGTAGGTTGTTTAAAAGCAGTTTGTTCACCAACAGGTATATACATAGTGGAGTAAATGTGTTGTTTTAGCAAATGCTTATTTAGCTCATGCTGTATTTAATGAGGGTTCCTTTCATGATTCTTAATAGTTATGATAAGAACATTATTATAGGACTTTAGAGTTAAAAATTTCTTTTGCCTACCTTGTTAATGATCTCGTTTTCTCTGTATAATATACTCTACTTGGTTCACAGGAGAAAGACAATTGTATTCCGATCCAAGGAGCAGAAACCCAGGCTAAACTTAGCTTGAGCTAAGAAAAGACTTATTCTGCTAACTGACAAGTCTAGGGATATTCCTTCCTTAGCTTTAGGTATCACTGGAGATCTTCTTGCCTACATGATGCTTCCCTCGAAAGCATCATGTATTGACAGGGATGGGTGTAGTGTTCTTACGAAAGTCCTCAATACTCAGTATCTTGGAGAAGAGAGTATTTTTCTCCTTAGTTCTGGTGGAAGTCCATGGGAGGCTTCTGGGCCTTTGGGCCATCATATTTGTTTGCACCAGTATATGATAGTGGGAAATGGACTAATTTAATTGCCCCTGTCTGAGTCATCCAGCCGGTTTAATTTCTCCTTACCCCATGGATCAAAGCAAGATGAGTCCAGACTGGGGAAGGGTTGGTTCTCCAAAGGAAGGGATATTGAATAGATGACCCAGAGAAATAATGACCCCTTGGTGTCACATTTTAGAGGTAGGACTGTTGGGCTGCAAGGATCATTAGTCTGATAGTATAAGCATTTTTGTTTTAAAGTTAACCTAGGAACACTTAGTCATTCTTTAGAATTAACATTAACAGTTTCAAAGTAACTTTTATGGAGGCATGCATAGCATTCAGTGAGGATTTTCCATTAGTAATATTAAGAAAATGTAGTTGTGGTATAATGAACTCTATGATAAAAGTCTTGTTGAATAGATCAAATTTGATTCCAGTCCTCAAATTTGGGCTCTTTGGAGGCATTTGTTGCGTGGGTTTAAAACTAACAGACATGGAAGGATGGTGAATGATGGTTTGGATAAGGCTCTCCCGTGAACTTTAAAACTTCATTTATGGCCGGGTGTGGTGGCTCAAGCCTGTAATCCCAGCACTTTGGGAGGCCAAGGCAGGTGGATCATGAGGTCAAGAGATCGAGACCATCCTGGTCAACATGGTGAAACCCCGTCTCTGCTGAAAATACAAAAAATTAGCTGGGCATGGTGGCGCGTGCCTGTAATCCCAGCTACTCAGGAGGCTGAGGCAGGAGAATTGCCTGAACCCAGGAGGCGGAGGTTGTGGTGAGCCGAGATCGCGCCATTGCACTCCAGCCTGGGTAACAAGAGCGAAACTCCGTCTAAAAAAAAAAAAAACTTTATTCATTTGTTCATACCTTTATTTTTACCAGACTTAAATATGTCAGCTGTTCCTAATAGATAATGGACCTGTTTTAGATACAGTCTCTTTGAAACTAACCATGGTTTTTTAGTCACCTCTGTATAGTCCCCTTCTGCCACATTCATTGAACAAATACCAAGTATTTTCACTTTTTGGTCTTTTAGACAGGTTAGGTTAAGCTCGGAGATATTACTAAATTTTACAATGGACGTAGGTACAAAAGTTCCTTAGGTATATATGCCGTAAAATTAGATGTGAGTCAGTTGTGTGATGTTCATTCAAATCTGGCAGAATATCTTATTTTTAATGATATATTTGGATAATTGTGTAAACTTAACATTAATTTTTTAATTTAATGAATTTTTAAACGAATGAACTTAGAAAAAGAGGGTTTAAGCTAATCCCTAAAGAATTGAAGCTATCTTAGTAAGTCCTGATATGCAGCTCCATATATAGCTCTAGTGATAGACTTGGCTTCTCATTGCTAATTTGTAGGTGTTCTATTAAAATTTCCTAGAGTATATATTTATGCATATTATAATAATGAGAATGATTACTTAAAAACTCATTTGTTCTGGGTATGGTAGCATGCATTCATAATTCCAGCTGAGGCGGAAGGATCGTTAGAGCCCAGGAGTTAGAGACCAGTCTGAACAACATACTGAGACCCTGTCTCAAAACAACAAAAAACAACAACAAAAAAACCTTTTTGTATGATACTTCTTCCTTCATAAAGTGGCTTTTACTAAAAATTGATTATACCTTGGTAAATGGTGAACTAGGGTGATCAAATGGGAACCCTACTGGTTTTTTATTTTTTTTGAAACTTCAGATATACCAGTTACCAGCATTGTGTCATTTCTTTTATGGTGATCGATTTCTTTAGAGAGAAATCTTCTAGTCTCCTTCCATGAAAAAGTCTGCTTATCAGCTTTCTAAATTTTATCCTGGGGAATGGAGGTTGGGGATCTTAACAATCATGTATGCAGTCTTTCTATCAGGTACATCTATTTTTAGTGACACTTCCATTAGGGTTAGGTTCATTTCTGTGTGGTAGATTCCAAATTATCTGAGTTAAGGTTTTCTTTCTTTCTTTTTTTTTCCTTGTGGTGGAGTTTTGCTCTTATTGCCCAGGCTGGGTGCAGTAGTGTGATCTTGGCTCATCACAACCTCCACCTCCTGGGTTCAAGCAATTCTCTTGCCTCAGCCTCCTGAGTAGCTGGGATTATAGGCATGTACTACCACGGCCAGCTAATTTTGTATTTTTTGTGAAGAAGGGGTTTCTGCGTGTTGGTCAGGCTGGTCTCAAACTCCCAACCTCAGGTTATCCACCTGCCTCGGCCTCCCAAAGTGCTGGGATTACAGGCGTCAGCTGTGGCGCCCAGCCAAGGTTTTATTCTTTTGTAAAAAGTTGGCTGGCAGGTAGTTCTGGTAGCCCAGGTCTTATATAGTGGTTCTGTGAAGTTCATTGAGGTTCAGATTCCTTTCAGCTTTCTGCTGTATAAAACCTAGAATATTTTTCTCAGGTCCAGGTTGCAATCATATTCAAGTTCCAGGCAGTAGGATGGAGAAAGGGAGAAAGGCACAGGGTTCGACCTTTAGGGTGTTTCCTGGCAACTATTCCACAGCCCCCTGCCTATATGTTCCTGGCCATTGTGTGTGTCCATTTCTCATAGGATGCTAGGAAAAGGAATTTTCATTATGAGCAGCTATATATTCAGCTAAAGATACAGGGTTTTGTTAATAAGGAAGAGGATAGAACCGATGATGATGTAGTCAATTAGCATGCCCTACCCCACTTAGCAGTGCTTGATCTCCACCTTAGTTGTATTTATTTGCTATCTCTGACCTTTTTCTGAGAGTGCACCTACTCTCATAGTAGAGGATCTGGGAGCTTGAAGGTTTCTTTGAAGTATTTTCAACCACATCTCCTGCTTACATTGAACTCCTACCTTCAGAGTTACCTCATGTTTCTTAATTCAGATCCTTTTCTGGCTTCTCTATCATGGTTTGGCTTCTACTTTGGCTCCCTTCCCTCTTAGCCAGTTAGATTTTAGATTTCTCTTTTTCATTCATTCATTCATTCATTCACTCACTTCACCTTTTAGTAAATTTTGTTGAAACCTCTTATGTGCTCTGTGCCCTTCTCAACCTTTTTGTCCATGTTCATGTATATCTTTTACATTTTTGAATTCTTGTTTCAGTGTGTTTTGGTGGGGAACAAAGAAGGGTGTTTATTCAGATTTCTTTGTTTGACTGTAAGAGGAAGGTGTTTGCATTTTCAGCTCTCCGCAGTGCTTATAACAGTTTACACTCTCATCAGCAGGTGTATGGGAGTTTTTTATTTCCCCATATCCTTGCTAATACTCACTGATTAATAATTTAATTTATTGCTTTTTGCTAAACTGATTGGTGAGAAATAGTACCTTTAGTTTGCATTCCTCTTATATTGCTGAGGTTGAACAGTTTATTTTTACTGGCCACTTTGTTTCTTTTTCTGTGATTGCTTGTTCTTTTCTTTTGCCCATTTTCTATTGAGTTTTTTTTCTTTACTGATCTATAGGAGTTGGAGCATTTTCTGGATATTTATCTTTTTTTATTATGTGTGTTGCAAAAATCTTCTAGTCTGTTTCTTGTTTCCCAACAGTGTTTATGCTATATATTGTCATATAAAAGTCCTCTCAAAATGTTTTCAACTCCTGATAATTTGTAGTAAAGATTTTTTTTCCTTATTCCTAATGTTGTGCATGTGTTATATGTGATTTTCCTTCCTCAGGTTTGCCAAAGGTTTGGAGCCACCTTTTCTTGTTTAAAACCAAGCCTTTTTGGTTGGTTTTCTGCCCTTGTCATTCTTTTTTTTATTTTTTTTTTGTCATTCATTTTAAAAAAAAAAAATTTTCTTTGTTCTATCTTTTTGTGTGGATTCATTAGTTTTCCATCTTTTTGGTTTTTCTAATATATTTTAGGACTGTATTATTTTCTCAACCTGTATTATTTGCATCCTGCTGTCTTTTTCATTTGTAAA